TTGGTGTATTTTCAGGTCCCACTGGTGCAGTTTGCAGGGGAGGCCACTCACAGTGAGTTTTTCTCCACTGTCCATGGAGCATACCTGACAGGACAGAGGGAGGCCAACAGGCTGCTGAACCTGTATGGTAGCAAGTAGTGAGAACAGGACTGGGAGGAAGATAGGGATAGGAAACTGAAAAGATGGGAGGATAATATCAGCAAATTACTTAGTGAAACATTAAGAAGAATAGAAAACCTAGAACGGTGAAAGAAATTTGTTGTCAGATCTTTTGTGGTGCCCAAGGGTGGACTAAGGATAGATGAGATGAGAATAGGACTCAGGGAAATCATGAAATGTAACTGGCTTGAAAGAAATATACATGTACCTACAATTTTCTTCTCAATATGTTGTTTGCAAAACTAGATGTCTAATACACTGAATGTTTCATACTGTTGAGTTTATATACATATATCATGATACTTCTCATTTGAGATAATCAGATGTCATTTTTCGGTTCTTTGAGATACACAGATTATTTTAAAGAGCTTGTATTTTTAAATGAAGTAAGCACATCCTATTGATGTCTACTCTTGAAGAATGAATAAAATTTTCTGGACAATTTTAGTTCATGACCTCATGTTTTTGCCAATTGATATTATGGCCTTGTCACACTTCTGCACATCCTCATTCCGTCTGACTTGCATATTGACGTTTCTTTCATACACAGCCGTACAAACAATACGCTGATCACAGGCATCTCGGTAGTTTTGTGAAGGTTTTATATGTACGCATACATGCGTACAGTACGGCCGAGTATGATGCTTATAGTTTGGGGCATACACGCAGGTCAAGCTATGAGTACACACTGCGTCTGTCGAGCACGGCTCGTTACTCAGTACACTAGCTATGTGTTCGGTTGGATACATGGTTTATACTCAACAATACACTGATGTTCCCACCCCATTTTGTAATGTTCCCTCCACCCGAAAGGTGTCGTTTTCACTGCCTACTGATATCTTAATGTCCCTTGCCATTTCTCAATGCTTACCTCGCCGCACGTCTTATATGAACCCTCTAAGGCCGGTTACTCATAATGCTGACTTTTCTAAGAGTGTATGTTTGACTCCATGAATCTGAAGGTTAGTCGACACATGCATATTAGAATTTGACCAGCCATCTTACAACATTGGTCTTGAGCTACTAGTATATCCCTCGGCTGTATCTCTTGGTAATGGTAATAGTAAAAGTCACAAAAATGGTGGCAAGAGGAAAGCGCGGCACAAGTTATGTTTCCATCAACTTTATTTCCTGGAATGTCTCAAAGTTAGTATATCTACTAACTACGGATCAGCCAACAACGCTGGGTCCGGCGTAGCCCACTTGGGTTTCTGGTACTTCTTTATTGCCTGAATCATTTGTGCCTACTGACAACTGGCAACAAAAGAGTGCAATGCTATTTCCAATCATGGATTTTTTAATCATATTATTCTGCATTCAACAAAATTATATCTGTAGCTATTCTGAATCTACATAGTACTTTGACCTCATATTAGATGAAATAAAGATCGTGATTCTGACTTCATCCTATCTGAGCGCTAGTTGTGCATGAAAACTATACTGATCAACCGTACAAGGCCAGGAAGCCTTGCGGGTTGGGCATCTGTTTGCTCCAGGCCACCACGCGGGACCCCTTCCACTTGGAAGCTCTCCTCCGTCCGTCGCTGGTGTCCCGGGGCTGGCTGCCGTCTGGCTTCGGGGCGGCGGCCCCCTGGCGGAGCGTCAGGAACGACAGGCCAGGCGGCAGGTAGTCCCTGGCTGTGGTCGGTCTGCCGTCCACTCGCGGAGAACGGGGAGAGAGAGGTGTGTCCATGTCCGGAAACATCACACCATCTGAAGAAATATGCACATCAAAGGTCGTTCGATATATTGATCTTCAGGCAAGAAATTCGAGCATACATGTACATTGTACTTGCAAGTTAATGTAACTCATATAAGTACCACCCAAAACAAGATTCATTAATGTGAAGCAAGTGAAACATCTCATATTTTTACAACGACGTTGACAAGAGGCTTTCTGTGGTGTATTTCTGTGTTAACAGCATGCAGTACCTGACGCTTTGAAAAGCATACAAACTACTTTCGCTGTAGGCGGCATTTCAATTACTGGCGATGAATGCAGTACAGTGCAACTCATCAGGGCATGATCAGTATGAGGTGGGTTAAAAATTGTTGTCACAAACTAGATCTTTTCTTCGGTTTCCTTACTTTATCAATCTGATCTTTAGGAAATGAGAGCGAGTCTCCATAAGCTTCCCAGATATACTTTCGTCTTTTTCGTAACAAATGGATAAACGGATATAGCTTACTTTCCACCCCATCCTGAAGAGGAACGTCATCCGCTCCTACCCAGACTGCCAGTAGCAGTAGACTCGCCAGCGTTCCGGACAGCCTGGATGTCATCCTGAATATCAACAAGATGTCAAAAAAGGATCATTGCAACATATAAAAGAATCTCACAACCGATTTATGAGACAGAAATCTACAGATGAGACAATCTGGCCGGCTGGCGCTTCCGCATATAATCTGGATAGTTTATTGTGCTGTGCGGGAAGCGAATAGTTGGAGGGAATCCGGTACTTCTCCGATGTCCTTATCATGCAATAAATTTTGCTGTGTACACGACATGTCATTTTCTTTTCATTTTGAGTGTCCTTAAAGCCTTCAAATATGAATACACACAAACAACTTTCCTCCGTTGCAGAATACCAGCGAAATGACGTGTTTTTTATTTGTTTTTTTTAATCAATAAAAGACCTTTATTGTACCTTACTGGCTAAGTACAGGTCATGAATAAAGCGGAATTCGAAGTAACAAAATTACAGCAATATCTTATTATTAAAACTATATATATACTAATGTTAGCTACTATGTGCATGTTCAACTTCTTCTCGCTTCTAATACAATTGTAGATATATGAGCATATGGAACTAATGATACATGGCTTGTCTAGTTTCATAAGGAGTAAGAATTTTTCTGTTCCGTGTCTGAAGCTATGGAACGTATCTTGTCCACAAGTATAGAAGGTATCTCTCTCATTTCACGACGTTGGCAGATGGATGAGATAATTTGAGATGACGTGCATGGGCGAATTCCAGACATATGAAAAACCACGCACAATGACATTCCTCTAATTCTCTTGTGGTCTGGCCCAGTTTTTGGCCTGGTCTAACCTAGTCCTAATTTTAAAAGGGCCAGAAAGCCGTCGTTTTGATTTTTAAAAATTGTAGTCTTTTAGTCATAAAAGATTTGATAATTCACAATAACGCAGCGGTCGTCCTTTCTAAAAAAATCCGCTTGGACATTAGAATTAACCAGTTGATAATGCTTATCATATTATCTAGTGAGAATGAGACAATGAACGTGAACAGCATCGGCGTACAACGGCGCGTCAGGTATGAAATTTATGTTACGTGAAAAATTGATCTAGTCCAGATATCTCCGCATTTTTCGATATGAAACCTTCAAACAAATGTTTTAGATATGAAATCATTTGCGCCGTTTTGTTGTTTTACTGTGGACCATAATTGGATCAAGAAGGTGCCTGGACTAACGATGCAGTGCGGCTTTCCTGCCGTTCGTTTTCTATGAGTTCCTACCTATACTATAATTCCAGCTGCGAATGACTTATTCTCCTTGTCTACATGTGTAAGTCAGTATGAACGCGGCGGTGGTGTAGACATGTTCCACGGACATGTCATGAGATGCCCTAACCTACTCCGAACCAAGGATCTGCTTAACCAAAGTAACAACACGGATTTAAAAATAGCCAAATAATGAAAACTGGACTAGAGTAGTTTTGTCACCGTAGAGTTAATTTGAAATGTTATCCTCCCGCGGTAACGGACAACCGTTCCCCTGTAGCACTAAAATCTCACCACAGGAACCGTACGAAACCTCTGTGTGTCTCCATGCACGAGAGGAAGGCCGGAAGCTACACTTTTTCCACTCTGATAGCTTAAACACGCATATCATGATATTTGTCTTATGCACATCTAATTCTGAATGACCATTACAGTATGATTGAGAGGATTCAATAATGTAAAAAAAAAAGATTTCGAGAGTGGATCCAATTATGCTGAAGAACCAAACCTAGCGCGCGTAAATTCTAAGTCATTTTAGATAAACTATCCCCATAACGGACACATCGTGTGATAGTGAATAAGGATTACCATTCGAGTCTGCAGTTTACTACATTTTCATTAGAACATGGACACCTAAGAACAAACAGCCGCGGAACCTACCTGGAGTCGTAGTCAAACTTCTTCCTCGTGGGCCGACTGAAGTATGCCTGTATCAGTCCTCCAACCTGTACTAATGAGTCGCTATACAAGATCGTCACCTTATATCGGGTCTCTGACGATCTTTGACAGCTCATGACGAGTCACATGATCGCAGTTTGACGTAAGGCCGTGCGCACACCGCCGTCGTACTGCCACAATGTTCGGTTTAGAAAACTGGTAAAAATACGGTAAAGCAAGTGTGGGTGTGTAATATTGCTAGCGCGGTGAAGAAACAAGACAAGCTGTATGTCCGTATGCGGGAAATAAAACTCTATGCATATGGGGGCAAACTGTCCTGACCAATCATTCATTTGAGGAGCAGACTTTACCGACCTAATCAGTATGCCTTTGGACGAAAGCTTACCGGCTAGAGAACATCCTGTCTTAGACCCTGTATAGAAGGATGGCTAAAGCTAGCTAAGAAGGCTGGACTCCAGATTTACCGTAGTTATGCCACGGATAGTCTTGCAAAATGTATAGCAATTAATGCAAAAATGCTATAATACCATTGTAGTACTAGTAAATGACTGGAATTTATACTCGGGGCGTACGTAAGTTTTGTAATGGTGAACATCATAACCATGCAACCATGCAGGGCCTCATTTGATGAGAAAATGCCACAACAGGTGATAGGTGATATAAGACTTTCAAACTTTGGACAACTTGTACTGTTTGTACTATTTTGGTATAGAAGGTAACTGATCTAATTTATGCAAATGAGAACCTTATTTTCATTTTTAATGAGAAACCTTTACAATGTGTCATCCTTAAAGATTAACGATGACCCTATAAAAGTTTACATTATCTGGCAAATGTATGAGATCGTGGAAGTCTTGTGTTGAAGATATGTCCTTGGTTGGGACTCCTTCCGGCCTGCCGACGCCCATGCAACAGTGAAGCGGCGGGACGTTAATGAAGAATGGTCCTGCCATTATTCACGCCACCCCCCGTAATTTCCGTGCTGACTATCGTCACCACCACCCTGTGGGCTCTAACCATGAGAGCTCCTCTCCAGGAGGTTCCTCAGACGTACATGCACACTCTCATGATGTCACAACCTCGCACAGTTTTTCCGGAGAGACGGACACAGTCTGAACGGCGGACCATTTTTACCGTATTTGGTAATGGTGCCAGCAACAAACTACTCAGCCAGTAAGTTAATCTTGAGATCCAGGACTCCTACACACTTAAGTGAGACGAGTAGAACTTCCCCAAACGCCACTACTTGTACCTGCATTTGTTTTATCATATAACGTTATACATCATCCCAATCAACTGTCTGTCGAAGCAGGACAAAATCTTCAGGTAACTTTCTTAGACATAATTTTGCTGCACCTGTGTTCATCACTAAAATTATTCGTGTACACACGGAGGACTATATGAGGAATCTGGAGGTATCTTGAACAGTGACTGTGTTTCCCTGACAGTGTTTCCTTTCCCTGACTGTGTTTTCCTGTCCCTGACTGTGATTTTCCATAGCCCTATGTTACCTTGTCCCTGACTGTGTTCCCTTGTCCCTGGTGTTGACTGTGTTTCCCTGTCCCTAACTGTGTTTCCCTATCCCTGTGTGTTTCCCTGTCCCTAGTGGTGACCATGTTTCCCTGTCCCCGGTACTGACTGTGTTTCCCTGTCCTTGGTTCTGACCATGTTTCCCTGTCCCCGGTACTGACTGTTTCCCTGTCCCTGACTGTTTCCCTGTCCCTGGTACTGACCGTGTCTCCCTGTCCCCGGTACTGACTGTTTCCCTGTCCCCGGTACTGTTTCCCTGTCCCTGGTACTGACTGTGTTTCCCTGTCCCTGACTGTGTTCCTTGTCCCTGGTTTTGATTGCGTTTCCCTGTCCCTGTGTGTTTCCCTGTTCCTGGTGCTGACTGTATTTCCTTGCCCCTGGTACTGACTGTGTTTCCCTGTCCTTGCTACTGACTATGTTTCCATAGCCCTGACTGCGTTTCCCTGTCTCTGGTGTGACTGTATTTCCTGTCCCAGACTGCTTCCCTAGTCTCTGGTGCTGTGTTTCCCTGTCCCTGACCATGTTTCCCTGTCCCCAGTGCTGTGTTTCCCTGTCCCAGGTACTGACTGTGTTTCCCTGTCCCTGGTACTGACTGTGTTTCTCTGTCCTTGGTGCTGACCATGTTTCCCTGTCCCAGGTACTGACTGTGTTTCCCTGTCCCTGGTACTGACTGTGTTTCCCTGTCCTTGGTGCTGGCTATGTTTCCCTGTCCCAGGTACTGACTGTGTTTCCCTGTCCCTGGTGCTGACTGTGTTTTCCTGTTCCTGACCATGTTTCCCTGTCCCTGGTGCTGACTGTGGTTTGCTGTCCCATATCACCTGCTCCATACTAAATCCTACACTACTGATGCTCCAGCAGTTGAAACAAGGAAAGATGGGAGGTGTCACACAACATGCCCATATACTCAATGTCTACAGACTTTATTGTTTCTTTAAGTAAAGTAATACAATACAATACAACACATTTGAAATGACTTCAAATATAAAGAAGCTTGCAGATGTGTTCCATGCTTTACCTGTCCCTGGTGCTGATTTTGTTTCCCTAACCCACCTGCTGACTGTGCTTCCCTGTCCAATAAAAACTACAAATACCACATTGCATTCAATTAATACACACTGTATTTACAACCCCCCAAAAGCCAGTGACCTTATCCAGACTTTCAACATAAGATGTAAAAGGACTTGAATCCTGCACGTTGACAGACCTATGCCTGCATGACTGGACCGTCTTGTTTCGCCTCCAGCTTTACTCCACTGCTGGCAAAACCAGTGCCACCCTGCAAAAACAGACAGACAAGTCAGTAATGTCTGTTTTGACAACACCAATGTATTTTCATGCTTTTCAGACAATTTTCCAGCAATTATCCGGACATTATGATGAAAACAGAGGGTTCAAAGGAAAACTTGCATCTGACTTTATTTACATGCCAAATTTGTGTATCAAGGTAGACTACATCTACAATGTATTTTGAAATCTGAGAACCAACAAGTTACAAGCAAATTGGCATAGTCTTAAGTTAGTACACCTGGTAAATTGTGGACCTAATTATCTGAGTGTGCTACTTTTTTGTTTTGGACTTTGGCTGGAGTGAACAATGCAAAAGTGAAGCGGAACAGGACAAAACCCAACATTGTTTTTCTAGTTTTTCCTAGGCCTGATGGAGTGGTGAGCCTGTGTTTCTCCCTCCATGATCTGTTGCTGGGTACAGTTGCCAGATTTTCTCCCACTCATGTGAATAACAAGACATTTGATAGTCTAAGAGTAATCCTTTGATAACCCCCAACTGTGGAGCTAATTTGGTATCAGAAAGTAATTTACATGGTACCAATATTCTATTAGAGACACCTACATGGTGTCAAACTGATAGACAGAAATGCGTATGTCTATGGTGAATCAGCTATTGTAAAAAGAAGCAGGCTGTATATGTTTAAGACTGTTGTTCAGTCTCCAGCTGTGTTTCATCTATTCAGACAGAGTCTGATGTAGATGTTTGCTGTTATATATGACCCTGGGATATAAAAAAGTTCTACCACTGGATAAAATTTCCAGGAATCAAAGGTTGTTCACAAGGTTTTTCCCTGTTATGTTGCTGATTCCATCTTTACATGGTACACAATATTCAACAAATCAAGACCTAAAATGCTTCTCCTCATTCTACTATAACAAGGAGCAAGCACTCATGATGGCAGCAGATCAGCTGCTGAAATGAAGCCAGAGCTCGAAATTCATTTTTGGGAATAGGTACACTGGTGCACCCAACCAAAAAAAAAATTAGGTGTACAAAAAATTTTTGGGTGCACCATATAATACTAAATTTATAAAGCAGAATGTCAGCAAAACTAATCATGTTTCATTTCTAAAGAAAAGTAGTACAAGAATTATTTTATTATTTTTCTGACCCATGTTAACATTATGCTTTAATACATTTAACATCTATACATAGATCTAGTACATGCATTACATAAACCTACAAAAATATTTGGGTGCACTGGTGCACCCATAGAAAAAAGTTTGGTGCACAGCTCCAAATTTGGGTGCACTAAGGTGCACATGCACCCCGTATTTCGAGTCCTGAATGAAGACAGAGATGGTATACCTAAAAAAACATGTTGAATTGATTTTCCTTATAAACTATTTACAGATTTCTACAGGGCAGTTAATATACATTTCTAGGCAAATGGGAATTGATAGTGTATTTTACCCTCTGTATGGGGATGATATCCCTGTCTGTCAGCTTGTCTCCAGACACTGGATCAGTCATGTCTTTCTTAATCAGTCTCTCCACAGAGTCCATGGTCACCACCGCACCTCTTGAATGGAGAAAAAGCACAAACAAACAAATAAATAAAGAACCGAGCAACAGCTTTAGTCTTCCAACACAGGTCAACGAACCTGATGTTCACAAAATAATACACACATGGAATCCCTGTTATTAACACAATTGTTTCTGGTTCTGTCCCCTTTATTAAAAAGATGAACAAAAAACATATGCAATATTAATCTTATTGACAGTGTCTTAATTGGTATCTGGGTCGTGTTTCAATTTTACATGACCATGTTGTGTACAGTACCTTCCTTGCAGTTTACACAGTGATAATGTAATTTGATCAATCATGGACAGCAAACTTACGATGGCTTCAGAACAGCACAGGGCACAGAGTTGCCAAGAGCATCACCAGTAACAGCACAAACATAACGAACCTGCAAAACAAGAGAATGATAAAGAAAACGGTTCAGATAAGGTGGATTTACATTTAATAGTGATTTTCAGTAGTGTACAAATAGCACATTTGTTACACCCTGCCATAACCCTTACCCACATTGATCCTGACCCTCCCCACGGCAATGACATATTGGTGCTTCACAACCTTGTTATGGTCTCCGTACATTTCAATTTTAAAATTTAGGTAATTTTGCTTTAATTCATCCATTATGCATAATTATGGCCTTCATCAGAGCTATAGCAGCACTTTGCTGTTAAATTTCTGCAGACGACCATGTGAATGTGAAAATTGTTTCCTTCTTTGACTTCCTGGATAACCATCTTCTCAGGATCATTACAACAATTTGATTCACCATGTCTTGATCTAGCAGCTTTGATATACCTTAAATTGTCTAAAAGTTTAAAGCCAAAGTCTGTGCTGTCTGTTATCCAGGGAAATCCTACAAAGGATGCTGTGATTATACATTATACTTTATCAAATTTGCTTTTCTTATTACCTTCGCCAAGAAGGTTATGTTTTCAGGGGCGTTCGTGTATGTGTGTGTGTGTGTGTGTGTCTGTCTGTCTGTCTGTCTGTCTGTCAACACGATAACTAGAGAAGGTCCTGATGGATTGTCTTGATACTTGGTAGGTGGGTAGGTCTTGATGAGACCTCAAAATGATTAGATTTTGGGGCCACCTGGCGGCTTGTCATGGTACTGCAGCAGAACTTCCGGTTTTGATATCTCATGATCCAGACATGCTAGGGTGACGAAATTTGGATGGTAGATAGCTCTTGTGCTGGGGATAAAGTGACATGAGTTTGAGCCCCCTAGTTGCTTGCTCTAGAACTGCAGGGGGGTTTAATGGACAAATGTTTAAAGGGGGATAACTCAAGAACCGATGGATGGATCATAGTGATTTTTGGTATGTAGGTAGCTTGAGTGATGCTTGACATAATGATATTACAATTATGCAAATATAGATGTAATTTGCATAATTAATGAGGAAATTCTATTTATCAGCTGCATTCCATAATAGGAAGTTCAAGCTTGTGACATATGTTATTAAGAATGAGAGAAACACAGGTAGATATCAATTATGCAAATGAAGACTTAATTTGCATAATTAATGAGAAAATATTATAATTGCATAGTGGTAACTGCCTGGAATTTTATACTTGGGGTGTTTGAAAGTTAAGTTAAGGTGAACATAATTAAACATAACTTATTCAAATAAGGACCTTATTTGCATAATTTATGAGAAAATTTCATCATGGCATTCTTTGTTAAGATAAGACTGTCTTTTGGTGGAGAATATGATCAACAGATATAATTCATGCAATGGAGGATCCTATTTGCATAATTAGGGGGATTAATATATAATTTCTTAATCATAAAAGCTAACATCATTTGGCGAAGGTATGAGATCGTGGAACTCTAGGTAATAAATAAATCCTAATACCCACTCATACAAAATCAAACTTGTACTGTCTGTTATCAGGGTAAATTATCCCTTGAATTTTATCAAATTTGTCTTCTGCCATTATTGCCCAATCAGACAATATTAAACTAGTACCGTCTAGCTATCATCAGGGTAAATTATACCTTTTGTTAAGTTTATTGGTAATGAAATTTAGCTTTTCCGATTATTCGATAGCCATGTGTCAAGGTCATCGGGACTAGCCCAAACTATACAATATAAGGCCTGGCAATACTAGTAGCACAGGGAATAAAGAGGGGTGGGGAATGGAAAAGATGGGAGGATAATATCAGAGAATGGACTGACATGACACCAAGTGAAAGTAAAAAGAACAGAAAACCAAGGAGGGTGAAGAAAACTGGTTGTCAGATTTTATATGGTGCACCAATTGTCAAATAATTAGCCTAAAGAATACATGAGAAGAGATTATTTTAAAAATGCGATGCCCACTCATCAACAACATTAAATCTTTACTGTCTGTCACCAAAGATGTTATTGTGGATGTTTGGGAGGCACCATTGACAGACTCTACTGGGTGCCATATTTGCGTCAGTGGATCGGGCATGTACACGTAAGCAGGGAGGGGAAGTGAAAAGCACCACAGGAGGCCGAGGTGGGGTGTTGAGATTTCCTGCCAATTTAAAACTAGTTACACAACAACACACGCCATCACCTGATCTTCAGCACCTTCCATCTGAAATTAGCTGACAATGTCACTAGCTGCTACTGTCAGACGCTTGAACCGAGGGGGTCAACCTCCTTGCTTGTACATATAATATAAACATCAAAATATCGAGACTACATGTTTTGTTTGACTTTTGTTTGTTTGTTTCACATAACCAGTAAACTGCCTATAGGCATAACACACCAGATTTGTATAGTATGTACAAGCTGAATAAGACAATCTGATGGTTCTTGGATTGAATCTCAAGCAGGCCCCCAATGTTTTGCCCTGAAAGGTCCTTTACAGGCAGTTACACCTACTAGTACTTCCTAAGGGTCTGCTAGGGATTCAATCCCAGAACCAGATTCTACACATGGGAAATTAAAAGGAAACATTGCATGTGTTAGAGATAGAGTTGAGAAAGCAGGACCTGTTTGACAATGAGGGATGTCTTGTTGTCCCGATCGTTGACAGGTTTGAAGACGACGGGGATCAGGTCCTTCATCTTCAGCGGTCTGCCGCTCATGGGACAGCGAACCTTCTCCTCCTGGTACATCATCAGGAGACAAGAACAGGGAACTGAAACCTGGAAAACTGGGAGCTTCCTAGAACCCTGCACATTTTCACATCAAAACTTTGACATTGTACTGTAATTCACAGTTCATCATGCTTTTCTTATATACAGAAGATTTGTTTAGTTCTTCATGCTTTACTTCTCAAAAACCTAAACATGTCATGGAAGAGCCAGCATTGAACTTCAATCAAAATTGGTACAAAAACTCAATGATTCTACTACAGCCATGGTTTCAAAAGGTCAAATATTATAGATGTTGGCCACAAGTTCAAAGAAATGAAGGAAAACTATATGACAGAATTCCATATATTTTACTATGCCTTTTTATTAAAATTGCCTCTGTAGCAATGATTGTCAAAAATTTATAAACGATAGTTATATCAAATATTACACCACTAACAGGTTTTTTCAGCTTGGTTTCCTCTGCCTTGGGTGTGAGAGAGGGAATCCAGAAGCTGGGGAGTTGTTTATCCTTGGCTGCACCTCCTGTACTAGTGCTGGTACTGGGTCCAGCTGCACTTGCCCCTGCAGTCTCTGTCTCATCTGTTTAATGCCACATTAATTACAAAGGTAAGGTATAACACTGCTCACTTTAACGTAGAAAAATGAAGCAACTAGTGGAATCTTCAACAATGTTCAATTTTTACCTACAAGTTTGACATTAGCTGAAAGATCTCTTCATCCTGAAAGTAGTCAATCATACAGCACACATTCACTCACTCACTATCCGGTTTAGCATCTGTTGTTCCCAGTCTTCACTGGGTTAGACATGCTTGCACACCAATTCTGATACACTACCTGTAAGAATTATCATTCAGTGATGTTCACAGCTTTAGATATGATTGATGGAAAATGCATGTGAACCGTGTGCTGTCTGTACACTACGGAAAAACTGAAAAAGGGTTCTCACTAGCATCCATCATTTGAGGTCATTCTGCTTCTCATGACAGACAAAACTTTTGTGCATTCCATCATCAAAAATGAAAACCTTATTTAATGGGAGTGATTTTTGAAAATGCTAAAATGACACAAAATATGACAATGACCTTTATATCTAATGTAGTAGGTATTACATATCAAACTAAGGGAAATAGCGTTTCAGAGGTTTAAGAACTGCCTTACCCTTTGTCTTTGAGGGTCCAGCTCCAGTGAAGGGATTGAGTGGCTTGCTGACGATACTCTTCTCTGTTACAGACATGAAAAATATGCAAATACATTATATGTAAATGTCCACATAAGACATCTGGAGCTACATAATGTATCACAGGATGCCTGGGCCTGTTTTGGGGGGCTTATATTTGCACCCGCCTGCTTTAATTATTTCCTTCCAAAAATTCAACCACTCATTTCATGATTAAAAATTACATTTGTGCATACATGTATAGTGCCCCAAACATCATTAATAGAAATTGATAACTTTTGTGTATAAACTGATGTCCATCCACATCAAATCATGCATCTGTCATTTTGACAGCAAGAATTTGAGCAAACAAGCTTATGAAGGCCACAACAGGAAATGTATTCCTCTCTGGGACAGGATATATCAGCTAATTATCTACTCAACTTTATGTCAAACAATAATGAGATGACAATTTACATTCTGATCCACACACAGGTCTGCCTACATGCAGTCTCTTACTGTAATTATATTTTTCACGTTTTCCACAGTAACTTGTCCGATACACACTCATAACACTCAGATGTGTCTTGTTTGAATGCCTCCTGTACTATTGGTTTACCTTTATCCACAAAAGCTTTTATCTTGGAATGCTTCTCACTCTTCTGCTTCTGAGCCTCGTCTTCCTTGGGGGAAAAAGAATTGTTAGTACAAAATATGTTTTCTTGGATTGAATGATAATGTTTTAAGATAATGTTTTAATAACTAACTAACTAATTGATTTGAAGAGAAATTCAGAGGTTGTGCCTGTCAAAATTGCCCAAGAAGACCACTTTGATCATGATAGACAGGATTCTTAATGCCTGTGTCAATGGGAAAAATTATCTAAAGGAAGTGTTCACATTGGTCTGGTGGTCTTTACGTAGAGGTGGTGACTTGTATAGGTTTGACTGTAATTTAGTCACTGGGACTGGTCATCATTGCTTGGATGTACAAAATCTCCCAAAACGGTTATAATTAAATGTATGTATGTACATACATCCTACCTGCTTGTTACTGTTAATACACTACTAAGGGTGATGGTGGCTCATTGTCATCTGAGAACCTTGATGTCAAATGAGGTAAAATTTATATTCTATTGTAGATGGAATCTTTATGTGCTGTCCCAGAACATTTTCCCTGTCAAATTGATTCTCGGCTAGGTCAATTAGTATTCCCTGTACATCTTGGATAATGCATTGAAAAAGCCCTATATATACTATAGCTACCTTGGGTAAAAAGTGTGGTACCCTACATGCGCGCATTGCTGTGACTGTGAACATGGATTGACAATGCTAAGTTCTCGGCTCTCATATTTTTCGAGATAGCGCCCAGTTTAAAACACTGTGACTTAAGTGATTAACAATATTTTCATATGTGCTTATAATTTGTGGAAGATGCTGAAGAGTGTACGATAGAATTACTAGTAGATCATAAAATGCACTCCACATTTAATGAGAATCATTTTGTTGGGTTTGGAACCCATTTTTTGACATTTAAATATATGTTTAAACTGTTTTTGCTTGACCCCCTGGTGACCATCCCATTCCTCACTCCCTAAATATTATTGTACAACCAATTACTTGAGTAACACAAATCAACATTTATTCCAAGTGCAGAGGTGCAGGAGCGCCCCTCAGTGACAAAATAGTAAACTGCACTCCAGAACACCTGTTGAAAATAGCCTCCTTAGCATATAGCCATATACAAACATGTTGAGGCAAACAAATGTTTCTCTTGTGTCCAGTCATAACTTATCAGTATAAGGACTACTATTGTCAAAATAGGTCATAGCTCGTTCAGCTCCATCGCTAAGGTCATTTAAGGACAGAATATAGCAGGGTTTGACGGATTTAGAATTGGATGAAGGATTGTGAATTTTGGACAACACTAGCTAGTATACTGTATAGTTGATTTTCGTTTATTTATTGTGTATGAGTTAATTTATTTCAATTTATTTCCCGTGATCCCACCCCTCACTCATTACTGGACCTCTGGGAAGAGCGGCATGTACAAGGCCGACAGGGCCATCCAGTTTAAATAAAGGTGAATGAATGAATGAATGAATAAAAGGCCATGGTCATAAAAGACTGCATTGCCATTATGACATATCAAATATATAGAGATGACTGAGAGTGATAACCCTAGCCCTAGCATCTAGCCATCTACAATACAGATGTTTTATTACTAACAGGCATTATTGAAGAGAACTTACTAGTAGTGTAACAAGTTACATGATGAACACATGTACAGTAGTACAGTCACAACTCCCCCTACCTGGAACTTCTTCCTCTGTTTGTCGTAAGCTTTCAGCTGCCTTGCTATCTCTCTCTTCTGGTGGAGAATGTACTCAAGAATTGCTTCTTTATCATAGATATAGCCATCAGGACTGCAAGGAGAAACAGACCAGTGGCAGATTAATCTCCAAATAGTCATGTTATAAAGTGTAGAAAATGGATCAAACAGCAAGAAAGATCAATGTGGATCTTTAAACAAGTACTAATTAGGCTTACGTCACCACTGGGTTTTTACAAGGCTGGAGTGTCAGGCAGCAACAGTCAAAGTCCTGGAAGAGAAATAAAACAACTTTTATTCAACTTCAAGTGTCTCACAAGTTCCACAAGACCAGCTGCTAGTAATCCAATGTAAATTGGGCTCAGCAGTACTTAAGATGATGATTCAATGTACAACATGCACATGTGTTGTTTAACAGGTTTGTCTCAAAAGACCATAGTTTTTTTTCAGGCATCATGGGCAACATACATTACTACTAAGGTCATTACTATGGTATATACTCAAGACATTTCCGCTTTGAAAAGTACCAGATTTGGACATTAAAATTTTTGTTTTTGAATGATTTCGTTTAGGGGCATCAGATTTTGGCGCATTTCACATTGAGAGGTGTGCTTTATTGGGTGGGTATGACATAAATAAAATACAACACGGTGTATTTCGCATCAACCTCTGTCCCAGCCTTTTTGTGGGTTGGATCTTCCTTCTGGCCGTCAGGCGATCCGTCCCGCAGTCTGGCTGGTACTGCGATACAGAATACAGTGTTGTATTCTGCATATTTAAGGAGACCCAAGCTAAAGATGTGATATGCCAAAGGCAGCTTATGCAAAACAAACTGACCTTGATGGAGTCCTTGCTGAGTCTCGCTCTCTGTGACCCATACCCTGACTGTTGTGTGTCCTTCTTCTTCTCATGGTAGGTGTACACTGCTCCTGCAGTACAGTTCCTGGCATGTCGGGTCATGATGCTGCCTCAACAATGGCAGAACCTGAACAAGAACACGAAAAGAACTTCATCAAAATGGCCATCAGGGGTATTCTAAGGATCGCCCAATTTGTACTAACCACCCTGCTGTAGTATTTATACATAATTTGTATGCAGGTATGCATCACTCACAGACTCACAGTGTGCCCTAAATGCTAAAATTGGTAACATTACGTAGCAGTCTAAGCTACTACTGTAGTACTAGTTTGTGTCACAAGGCTAAGATCCAAGCCAATGGATACTGTCTAGAAAATGGATACTGTCTGGCCAATTTGATACTGTATTTGCAGCCACCCATCAGATCTGCTTGGAGATTTTTCATTTTCACAAGGTACATATACTATAGTAAAGGGGTGCATTCTTTGTGATGCGATGGTACGCCCGAGTTCCCATGCTGAGGAGAGATCAAAATCAATGCGAGGAATTACAACATTAATTACATTAGGCAGGAATTACATTAGCTGCCAGTATTGCAGAATATCAGAACTGTATGGGGTGGACCAAGTGGACAAACAGAGTATCATATCAGTCACGAGTGGAAAACTTCTGTTGGAAAAACCTACTACACTGCCATATGAGGAACAACAAACACTTTTCCAAATTTTTCGGCCCTTTTGCAGTAAAACCGGGCAAACCTCTTCCTCTCTTCCTCTTCCAGTTGAAGTGACCGCTATCATCAAGTTGATCATTCTGTCACTTTTAGTTGAAGGAGGCGAGAGGTCACCAACCTAAGACTGATGTAGTTTGGAAGCCCTAGACACAAAGGTGTCAACGGATGTGGCTTCCACCGTTGTCTGAGGCAGAGCATTCCATTCTTTGACAGTACGTGGCAAAAATGAGGCCATACGGTACTGGGTCCTACCACCTGGCTGTACGAACTGTTGGCCGTGCACCCTTCTCTCACGTACTGGGGCAGGCTGTAGTTTACCCCTAAGACCATCTGTGCAGACGATATTATGCTGTATGCGGTATAGCATGGCAAGTCGGGCTGTCTTTCTTCGGGCCTGAAGACTGGGCCAGTTCAGGTCCTCTAGCATTTCTGTGGGACTTGACGTTTGCCTGTAACGTCTCATCACGAAACGTGCTGCTCTGCGCTGAACTGCCTCTAGCCTATCAATGTCTTGTTGGGAATGAGGGTCCCAGACTGTCGCCGCATATTCAAGTATGGGGCGTACATAGCCGTGGCGACTCTTGACTCGGGCTTACATTGCATTACCCTCAGCAAGAGTCGTGGAAAGATCCATTGGCAGAACTGCACATTTCCCGTTGGCTGCTCGATGCTCCGTTTTTGACCCGGTTTTTTGCTGTCCCGAGCTTCCCTACTATATAACTCCACAATTGGCCGGGTTGCCGATGTTCAGATCGGCCTAAATATTCCACAGCGCGACGGGAAAGTACTAAAATAGCTAGTTGGTACATCCGCGCCGCCATTTTGGATATAGTCGGGAATGTCCGCTACCGCCGTCGGGAACGCTCGGTAGGCTTTCCGGTTATGATCGGAGAGTTTTCGGTCCCGCTTCGGTAATCGTGGCGCTACCGAGCGTTCCCGACGGCGGTAGCGGACATTCCCGACTATATCCAAAATGGCGGCGCGGATGTACCGACTAGCTATTTTAGTACTTTCCCGTCGCGCTGTGGAATATTTAGGCCGATCTGAACATCGGCAACCCGGCCAATTGTGGAGTTATATAGTAGGGAAGCTCGGGACAGCAAAAAACCGGGTCAAAAACGGAGCATCGAGCAGCCAACGGGAAATGTGCAGTTCTGCCAATGGATCTTTCCACGACTCTTGCTGAGGGTAATGCAATGTAAGCCCGAGTCAAGAGTCGCCACGGCTAGGGCGTACATAGGTCTTGTAGGCCAATTCTTTAATGCGCCTGGAGCTGATCTTCAGGTTCCTCTTTAAAAAGCCCAAGGTCTTGTTGGCTTTGTTACAAAGGTTGTTAATGTGTTCTTTCCAGGTAAGGTCTTTTGTTATAGCTACACCCAAGTATTTAACACTGGGAACCGTCTTGAGGGTATGACCATGGAGCTGGTAGTCGTACTGAAGGGGTCTCCTACTACGGGTCACCCGCAGAGTCTGACACTTCCCTGGATGGAACCTACCAATGCTTGTAAAATAGTAGTTGGTCCTGGCGACTGAAACACACTCTATAGTAGTTAATGTACTTCTTTCGTACCGATTTACTAGTCTGGAGCGGAAGCTGCTATGCTGTGATGACCACTCGTCTCTCTCTCGCCGAGACAATATTAGGACAAACCACTTGAAATTTAGGGAGACATCCTACTTTTTGTTGCCTCTTGTAAACCTTAATATCTGTATATTTGCAAAGTATCAAATGAATCTCATTGATGTATTTATACACATTACATATGCTTTTAAAACGAATTTAGCTATAATCAAAGTTTTATCACATTTTTTTGCAGGTTTTTCAAATACAACCCCTTTTTTCAATGGGAAGATCTTTGAGATTTTAGCTTCACGCGAGATTTTAGCTCCACGAGACTGGATCCAGGGCAAAATGGCAGCGCACGTGAAGAGAAAAGTTGGTGCAACTTTTTTTGTGCCGTTTTAATCTATGAATCGTTTCCACAATGGACCTGTCGTCGTTCGAAGAAGCCAGCCACCTGGTAGACGAGCCAGACTCGTGTTTGGAGATCGTGCGATGCCGGGAACACATCCCGCTGCCGCCGCAGTACCTGGGGCGTCTGCGGACAGGCGTGCAGGAGGTACTGGGCAGCGAGCTCAAGATGTACTCCGCCAGGTAGGGACGAGGATTCTTTTCTTTATATATGTCAAACGATGACAGTAGGTTATTCCTCTGCATAATTTGGTTTGGGTGGCCTTGTACTGACCAATGCAGGGTGACTGTACATTAGAATATCAGGTTGGGTAACTATGTGCTTACTGTAAATCACGAAAATTACGCGAGTCAAGGTGAGATCTCTTGTTAGATTATATTTCCACCTCTCCACCCCAATTCATGACACCGCGTCAAGTCTTCTCTGTATACTATTGTATTACAGATTCAACCACGAATTTACGGCACTGTGAAATCCCTTCTACTGCAAAATAAAACCACTGTGAAGGTAGGTTTCATGTTTTACAGTAGTGCAAAAAGTTTTTGTAAGAAGCACAATTTAATCTTGTATTTCATTTCACAACAGGCTGAAGGGGGTCCCAGTGTCCTACAGTAACATCAGCCTGGTGCAGACGGGAGGAAACATCCTAGATGACCAGCCCTACATTCATCTGGACGTGGAGACAGATTTCATTGTCTTCAGGCCCAAAGTTGGCAGTACTCTAGTGGTAAGACCTGGGAGTTACATGTAACTCAGGTTTCATCTGCAGGCGTGGATAATTAAGACATACAAATGTAGACAATGACATAAATCTTTTCTTTCTTGGTCTGCCTCAGAAATTGATTACAGTTTGTAGTTTTTTCTGTGGTGTATGAAGGTATCATTTTGGGTGGGTTGTCTGTGGGTTTGTGTGAATGTTTGTCCAGACAGAGTAGGTTGACAGCACATGGGTGGATGGGATCACAAGCAGTAATGACAGGATGTCAAAAGGTCAGTCATACCGATAAGAAATGGGGATGAACTTGATGGTCCCAGAATCAGTAATTGGAGGTTGACATATGGGGGAATTCAGGAAGCTGAGGCGAGTGACCCTCCAACCCTGCACAGTTTTTATCCTAATCCCAATTGAAGTTTGTCATACATTCTCCACACTCCATAGTAAGACCCCATTTTTAGTCGCATTCCATATTCTCCACAGGGTAAAGTCAACAAGTTAGGGAAAGGCCACGTGGGCTGTCTGGTGCACAACTATTTCAACGCCTCCATCCCGAGGCCCCGCGGCACAGTGAACGGCTGGGCAGGGTCTCGGCTGGCTGTGGGGGACAAGTTCAACTTCACTGTCACCAGGATAGAGGCTGATTATGGAGGGGTGTTAGCCATTACTGGAAAAATACTGTGAGTAACGTTCCTAACAGTTCACAAGTCAATTGCTTGGTTATCAAGTTGACTACAAAATACATGTAGTTACATTTATCTTTAAGAAAATAGGCATTAGTCAACATTATTGCCATGTCAGTGACATAAAGAGCCCAGGGGCAGGTCAAGGAAAGGAGGGGGGAAGTTTCACAAAGAGGTCTTGCTATATCATTTCATTGATATGAGATTCTGTATGTCTCAAAAATTGTTTGTTTATTCACAGAGATGACACCTGTGATAGCTATACAGACATCCAGCCTTCTGCCTGCCTCACAGGTATCTTGTACATCCTCTATAACATACTGTAAATGCATGATCTTTTGTAGCAATTTTATTTCACTGCAAGAAAGAAAAATGAGGATATCTAGATGTTTTCTGGGTAGAAACAATTCTGTGGTACACTAGTCATTAGTACAATAGTTAGGGGGACATATTTCAGTGTCATATATTTGTGGTGCAGGAGCGGTCATTGCAAATACAAAACCGTACCAAGAGCTTCAAGATTTACAGTAGATGTACTCCATTGATCAGCTCGTCCAATCACAACTCAACTTTCTGTGAAAACATTACATTTTTCAACAGAATGGATACCATCGATCTTGAGTATACATATGATGGTCCCTGGAAAGCAAGCAGATGTTAGTATTTAGTTAATGTTCCAACTGAGCATTTTGTGCCCATCAGGTACGCCTGGGAAAGGCATCATCAAAAAGAGAAAACACACCGGAGATGAAGATCCATCAAGTGGGAAGAAGTTGCGGCAGACAACAGAAACTGTTTCCCATAGAGAGGCTACTGTTACTGCAGCAGAAGAGCCAACTACATCAACTGATGACATCTCTCCAAACAAGAAGAAAAGACACAAGAAAAAGCACAGGGAAAAGGGGCATTGTGACACAGATGGTTTGTCTGTCTCTCCAAAGGCTGGTCAGCTTTCACCTGATTGTGAGGACAACCAAGATGAAGGAAATACTTTGACAAAGAAAAAGAAGAAACATAAGGAAAGCACCAAGGAAGATTTGCCGAGTATGGAAGAAGCAGTAATCGAGAGATTCACTAATACTGCAGAAAGTTTGCCTAAAAAGCAGAAGAAGAAAAGACAAGAAGAAAATTGTTTTGTGTCATCAGCACAGGAAGGCAAAAACTATGGTGAGGGACATTCTGGGATACATAGCAAGCTGAATGGAGACAAAAATGAAGAAACACAACTATCGGTGGAGAACAATGTCCTAGAAACACAGTCCACATCTACAAAGAAAAAGAAGAAAAAGCATAAAGATAAGAAACGTTCTTGTGACAGATAGACCATTGATGAAAAGTAGAACCAATGAGAAGGAAGGACATAAGGAAAGACTAACCAGGGAGGCAAAACTGACTGTTCAGTGGCACAGGTCTGGACCTAATCATCAGAAATAAACTGTCATAAGAAGTACAATATATTTCTACAAAAGAAATAATTAAATACATGTAACCTTTGTTTTATTCTAGGATCTCAAAGAAACGAACAAATTTTGTAGCAATTGTGTTCTGTATTATTAGAGGAAAGCTCGTAATATTAGTAAGAAATTTAAAAAAATATTTTACTATCTATGTAATTAAGTATGAAACCATGTGAGTTTTTTTTAAATTGCCACATTATGCTCTCATCTCCTGTGACTTTGTCATATTTACCATTTTACATACTTTGAATAGGGCTATATACTTTGCCAAATGCACTTTAAGTTCTGGATGTTTTGATTTAATTGACATAAAGGACTTTATAATTTTTATGTTGATAGCATGCATAGTACTGTTGTAAGTTACTACTCGTAACGCATGAGGCCATGAGGGCAAAGTGACATTGTTATGTAGTACTTTTGAATTGTTACAGAATTCAGTAAGTATTAATGTTGAAGAAAGGAGAAACTTTTCAAAGATATCAGACAAACTCAAAGACCCCATAACCCTACTACAAAACTCCTATGTCATGGTGAATTTTCTAAAAAGATGTATTTTGTCAATGACAACTACTCTATAGCTAAGGAAGGTTATGCAAAATGGTTTTCTCTTGTATTCCACAAATTAGGATTAACAGTAATGCTTGTTTAAAAAAAAATCATAAAAGACCACAATCATTGAAGTTAACTTTATAAGCACCAAATTTATTCAAACTTGTTAATGTCATTTCATGTTCATTCATTCATTCATGTGCCTACAGACAGACATACTGCACACGAGGGTCTGTTGTTGACACACTGCATCTCGATTTTGACAATTTAGGACATGAAAATCAGGAAAACTTGTAATTAAATACAACTGTTTTAGACTTAAATATGTAAACCCTCTTACAAAGATAATTAAACATTGAGTAAAATAACAGTTGGCAGCATATATGACTTACATAATGCTTGACCGAGGTTTAGGTACAGATTCATCTAGACTGTAATAATTCTATTTACCTTCCACCCACCAGTGTTAGAATCACAACATTCAGAGTTTCCTCCTATAGTCCACAGCCTCACCTATTCACTTTAATTTGAACAATAAAAAGGTTAGATTAGATTATGATAAAGAAATATGATACTTAAGTCTTCACCTTACTTGTTTTATGACACAATATGAGATTGGCACATTTCTCCTAAGATAGCGTAAACATTGGCCACTAACTCAACATTGTTACAGCTTTTCTATGCTATAATACTTTTACCCTTGACAGTCTTGACTCCATTGGTAAGTATTAGTGATTCTGTCTGGAAGACAACATGCCCAAATGTGTATACATGTATATTCATATATGTTGACAGTTTTAAGGATTGGTTAAACAAGTCTTACACTAGGAAATATGTTTAAGTCTACAAAACAGGTTAAATTCTCATGCCCTATTAACTGTACACATCCTTTCTTAATACCCTACCATATAAGGTTAGTGCTTACGACCCGTATTTTTGTCCCGCTCTATGCCATGATTTTACACGAACGTAGCTTGCGTTTTTCCTATATGTTATAGTGTCCTCCATACTACACGGGTAGCTGGGAAAAAGTAGTAGGAGTTCGCCAGCCATAGAGTTACAAGCTGCAAGGCTTGGGCAGGCCAATTTTTACTCCAAAGATGAGCCAAGCCTCTGCTGAAATTGTCCCTCAATTTAAGCTGATTTGTACAATTTCGTTTCCCCCATGAGGTCTGGGGGAGACTAGTAATTTTAAACTAAAGGAATACAAGTGTGTGTCGGAGCTATTCCTTTCTTAAAAGTTAAAGGAAGAATCCAAAGACCACTCGAGCATATGAGAGATGGCATCAGCAGGCAGGTTATGTGATCAATTGTTTGGTACGTACACCACACTCTGTAGCTCCTGGTGGCTGTATGGAGAAACACAAGGATAGAAACAGTCAATGGAAACAACATTTATAGACCGAGCATATCCTTAAAGAATGCCATATATAATAGTGAAAGCCAGCTGTAATATATATATATAAGTGTGTCTGGGATTGTCTGGGGAGGTTGTGCATACCAGTAATATTGTGCATTTGTGTGTATGCCTCTGTATGTGCGTGTGTGTATATGTGTGTGCGCGCGCGTGCGTGTTCTCAGATTCCCACAAACCAACCCTATAATAACTGATTAAGCTCTACACGAACTCACATGTCTTGTGGCGTGTACGTGTCCTGTATGTCCCCTTCAGGCTTGCCACTGATGTCATCATCATTACCAGATGACTTCCTGCCAGGCTCCACCGGTTCATAGGCCTTATGATAAATCATATATATGTATACATATACAATTTCCTATATACTAACACTCTAGAAATTATTTCCAGTTTTGGCATGTTTATTGTCAAAACAGTGAGACCCTTAGAGCGCTACTTCTATGTAATGGAACGGTCGGATGTCTACTACAGTCATTGTCAGTATGGAATGTTACAATCGGAAACGCAACACCGGATGCCAGGTTAAGGATTAAATTGCTTAACTTTCGCAATTAGTATTGACAACGTATTAACTGTTAGTTGACCGTGACGACAATGAAATTAGAAGACGTCTGTTTACAATTGTGTTAAACCACAACTAAATTTGTTACATTCACATTACAGGGTCGAGAGACGGTTATACATGTTATATATAGTGGGATCACAGATACACATGTCCACATTAACAGTTCTGAATGGTGGTTAACAACTGAGGCAGACACCAAAAATGGAATGTTACAGAATCGAACCTGCATCACTAGCTGTACACGGCTTTGCCAATAGGATTTAGTCCTAATCCAGTCATTCCGGGGATTAAAATCTTACAACGCGCGCGTTTACAGGGAGTTCTGTGCGCTTACTTTTGGCACAGTTCAATGACCAAATGTCTCTAAGATTCTTAATCTCAGACTCCAAGCAGAGCAGGGTGAATGTGGTCATGTGGTCGACTGCCTGACGCCAAACCAGAAAAAGGTTACGACTTCCCAATCGAATATGTGCTTGAATACTAGTATTACACTGTACGTGTATTGCCATACATTGTACCTTGTGCAATTGTCGCGCAATAAAGTTCTATGTACTATGGAAATGCCGTGTAACAGAATCATTTTCTTCCATTTGGGAATCTTTCAATTTTACAATTAGCTGTCTGTCCCACCACCCTACTACTACGATGTGACTGTCGATAGGAATTTTAGTAAACAGTGTTCTCAAGACGATGTCCTTCGTGTTGAGGTTTCAACGCTGTAAGAACGAAATAGGTGTAAGTGTGAGTAAGTGAGTTAGCTACTTTGTACAAGAACGAGTATTCACCATATCCCCGGCCCTTTCTCCCCCAAGAAAAATACGCCGTGCAATCAAGGATATGATGTCCTTGGAGCAATGTTGAATCAAGGAAGTTTTGGTTGAGTTCCCTGATTTTCTAGTTTCTAGTTCTTCGTGGCTTTGATAACATAATGTTAACTCTAATATTTACATCCCTAGACTGGGTGCCACCCTATTTAATGTCGCGGCTCCCATACTCGCTCCCTAGGAAATATTTCTTAGGGAGCGAGTATGGGAGCAGAGGCATGCACCCAGGCTACTACATCCCTCCTTTCCACCACCAATTTAAAAAAAAGAACGGATACAGCACAATCTTTCAGTATTGGGTTAGGCCAAGGACGTCCTTGGTTAGGCAAAGCTAACTTCGACTTCATTCTTCCTGCCGCTACTGACACTGGAGGCGCCATGTGTCGTGCCATTCCCCCGTAGACTGTTGGCAGGTAGGTACAGACTTACTTCATCTGGCTCCAGAGTCAGAGCTCGATCTTCAATGTCCCTGCGAACACTGCCATGGCCGTTTGTAGCTCGCTTGTCTCCTTTGGCGGGGTCGAGGACGGGGACATAGATCGGCGGATAGGCTTCGATAACTTCGTTGTCTCCCTTGGTGGGGTTGACGGCTTGACCCTGGGGGACATACATCGGGTAGGCTTCGGTAGCTTCAGTGCCTCGGTCGGCTCCGAGAGGATTGACGCGAACTGTTCCGACAAAACCGTTGTCGCCCTCCTTCAGTGCTGCCATCAAGACCTGCTGGTGCATTAGCAGACTCTCATATGTGTCCTTCACGAACGCGTCCAGCTGGTCAAATATGGGATAGTGGAAGGTGAATCCACCGTTGTTCTCGCGGTAGAAGTCGTCTTCCTGAGCGTACTCGATCTCTGTGTCCAGAGTCCCGTCTTTCCTGAGCTGCCAGTGAGACAAGACGATGCGCAGGTAGTTGGTGTGGAAGAGGAAGTCGGCAAACCCCTGAGGAAAATGTCCCTCGCAGAGGTGGATGTGGTTGCGTATGATCTCCTCTGCCTTCAGGTCTAGTGGGTACATGACGTAGAAGAGGAATGTCCGCCATCGTGAGAGCATCATGCTGCCGGTGTGTCGGTCCATCTGCCAGACTTGCAGCGAGTCGTTCAGGTACGAGTCCAGGGTGGAATGTGTGCCCAAGGCCTGGGCGTACGCCTTGTGATTGGCCAGTCTGTTGCCGTACAGCGGCCCCCACAGTTTGGTGAGTTGCTGGTTGACGCGGTCCAGTCTGGCGCGGAGACGCTGGTCGCGGCGGGACTGGTGTCGGAAGTGGCAGTACGTCACCACGGCAGCGACGGTGGCGATCAGGACGGAACCGCACACTGCCAGTCCGGCCCAGAGGGGCATGAGCTGTCAGGTCGGAAACGGAAAAGGGTAGTCAATAACAACAACTACAGTACTAATAGTCAAGAGTTCGTCAGAAGGATGACGGTTGAGACTATCAATTTTACCGGTTTCGACTTTTTATTCCAAAGTCTTTATCAGAAAATTACAACAAAAACTACAGTACTTTTTATTCACCAGTAGGTTTTTATCTTTTTTTTTTACAAATTAAAGATATTTTTGGTAATCCATAATTGTTGTAAATAGACTATATAGTGTTTTCTCTAGCACAACAACATGCTGGGGATAACAAAATACTAGTACCATTAACGTTATATGACTAATACTAATATCCTTTCTTTTGGAAGAAGGGCGTTTGCAATAGCCTGGTTACCAAACCTATTATAGCTGCCGAGCAGGCTTCCAAGAAGGAAAACTTGCTGGACGGGGTCGTATGTCAAACCCCAGAGGCAATGGTAGTTTGGGAGCGATGATGGTGGCATAATCCATTGGCCATAGTGAAAAGGTGGACGCTATCAATACCAGTCCAGTCCAATGAAAATTAAGCATATCGATCAAGACCACAAAAGTACATATTGTCTCACCTCAGGTGAAGGTGTGGCCATGGTACCGTCCAATCGTTGGTTGTCAGGCTTGCCTTGTCAATCTTAAAAGCAAAACAACACATTATTCAACATTACGTCTCATATCTCGTTTTTATGTCATAAGGGACAAGTGGTACAGTGGTAGTTGTTTAGATGTTTCTACATCTGCTGCAAAGTCTGCCTTGTCCCCCCGACGACCAGTGTCGGTCATGGGACTAGGTAGGTAGGTACTAAGGTAGTCGTCTATCTACGTTCCAGTTCAGTAACACCCAACGGATCCACATGTACATGTAAGGTAAGGGTCAAGCCGGAAATGAGTGGTGACTTCCTCGTAAATGCAAACATGTATGGATGGATGTCTTCCCCCTTTTTGGCTGATCTTGGTCTGTCTCACATGGACAAATTTAAAACTGGAATATCCTTCAACTTTTGAGGCAAAGCCAGTGAAGACAGCTGTGCCAGAACACTTGCCGCATTACTCAAGTTAAATCACAAAAACTACACCGCGTCTCTTGTGGCTTATTGTTAAGAGGTTTTAGGTAAGCAAGGAGGTCCCCTTTATTAAGCTCCTTGTAGTTCATGTGAGTCACTGTCTATATATAATTATCAGCATGTAAACCTAACAAAAAAACAGCCATACATAGGCAGTCGATACTAGCCGGACCGTGCTGTTTCCAGCACAAAATCTTCAGGCCAGAAGCTCCATTGCTGAATACATAAAGTACCTAGATCGACACTACCATAACACTACCATACTACCGTAACAACTAGATGTTTAAAAGACAAAAACCACACAGGTCACCTTGGCACACATCCGTATCGCTATGTGATGAAGTTGTACATTGTCTGTACAGTAAATGTACCTTGGATCGACCCTTCCAGCTGGTGACCAACAAAAATAGGTCAAGCTTTGCTTTTCCAACCTGTGCCGCATAATTTACATACATACATGTATGCATACATGTCATAGTGACCTTCATCGAAATTTGAAACAACTTAGAATGTGCTTTAAGGATGTTTTTAAGGGCTAGCTAAACAGGTACTCACCGGCAGGAGGGCAGCACAGCTGACGGGTGTACGAGACACACTCAGGCTTTCTGACTCGGACGAAACCAAAAAACTTCCCCTGGGGCTGGGTGTGGACAGAAATCTTCCTCCTGGTTTCTTTTATGGATAAGCCGTTTTCTAACAAACAAATGGCACAACAAGTAAACGGTTTGCTGTTACGTTGCCAGGGACCACTGAGAACAGCTGACTTCTAACTGATCCAAACCTACGAATTGTTCACCCCAACCAGTCTCCTGAAGGTGTTTGATTGATGTCGCAGACAACTTCTTTAACTGGTTTTTCCGCCGCATTATCTCACAATACCAAAAATTCGTTCGTCTGGATCTCATTAACGAGACAAGTGACAAACAAATAATGCACCTGTAACCAACAACGATGTAATTTAAATATGAACGGTGTGTAACTCTTGTAAGACCTGGCATCGCCGGTTCTTTGGTAGGTTTGTGTGTTTCCTCATGACGGTGGTAAACAGGGTGTCCACGAAACAAGAACGTGTTAAAATGACATCTTATGTTCTCTTTGTAATCGCCGTTTTGGAGGTCAGAGGTTACGACATTCACACAGGTAGTCACCAGTCGTGTGGAGTTTGTACTGCTTTTGTGAGGTCCTTTTTACACTCGGCTGTAGGTCTCGGGATATGCGTTATGGTATCTTGACCATCTACTGTGAGGACAATGATATAAATCATTGGTAGACCGAAATTAATATATCAAGAATGCCTGCCTTGAGCTTGAATACTTGAAATTAAGGGCAGAGTTGAGAAACTTGATTGAATGATAGGTATTGTGTTATGTGTTTACACTATTCTGTCTAGCAATCTTCCTAAGTTAACAACTCTGTATGATGTTTCTGTCTGTATTTGTTACTCTCCAAGCAGAGGTTTGTGTTTTGGGGGTATTTTTAGCTGTTTTTAGGCTTTTTTATCGGGGTTTCTCTTTTGCACTGAATTTTTTTCCCACCAAACCCCCCAAAAAAATTCAGTGCAAAAGAGAAACCCCGATAAAAAAGCCTAAAAACACGCTAAAAATACCCCCAAAACCCAAACCTCTGCTTGGAGAGTATGTATTTGTCACGATCGGTTAGTCTTGATTTTGCATTGCATGTCGTAACTTTATCGGGCCCGATGTACGATTGCAGTATTCTCGTGTGCCGAGCTTCCGGACGGCACCTACGCAGATCCCGAAGTCTGCACCATCTATCACCTCTGCCACTCCAGAATCAACTACTCCCTGCGCTGTCCCGAGGGACAGGTGTGGGACCGATGGTTGCACCACTGCCGCCTAGCGGACATTTCAAAATGCTGCAGAGGTTTGCGAATTGTTTGACCAACCTCGGAAGCTCACAAAGATGACTGACAAGAAGTCGTGTAATGACCTTTAGCTATAGATGTCAGCTATATATTGTACGCTACGGAAAAGAAACAAGCGTAAATATTACAACGTTTAGTAGTTGTGGTTTCCACATGTCATGTCGTCTCCGTGATGCTAGTGTTACACAAATAAACCGATCCCATAGCTCCGCCCATCCCCGTCAAAACGTAGAAATGCAAAACAACTTGAACACCTGAACATAAAAATGCAAATAAATGACGGTCATGCAGCCGCCCTCTCATTGGTGGTACCACTAATTGACACACTATCATTGGTTAAACTGCTAATTGTAGTGGACAGTCAGGATCGGTCTATCTCCATCCTCCCTTAGGGGACGGCTGTTTGATGTCCGGGGACGTGGTGGCTGAGGAGGTCGTTGCCGAACTATCCAGAAGAGTGGAAAGCCTAGAAAGAGAGAACAACCGACCGAACCAGCTGATGGAACAGGTGGCCGCTGAGAATATTCAACTACGGAACGAGCTTGAGCTTCTCAAGGCAAAAGTGGACAGTCTAGACAGTAGACTGACGACAGAACTCGGTAACGGCATAGCCCTGTTGTCAATTCGAAAAATAACGACGAGCCGTACTAGTACTAGTATATACTTCGCTCTAAATGTGTTTCAGAGTCATTTTCTCATCAACCTGAGTAACTTGTCGACAACTTTCCAGCGATGATTCACACTTGTGTTTTGCTTCCACATCATTCAGTTGACATACATAATGTCCTGAACATTCCTCAGTATATACGGTTTGATTCACAGTGTTAAAAAGGCAATTATTTTCCAAACCGTATTTTGTTGCTATTATTCCAGACGTTCCCCTTCCTAACGCAGTGTTTGCGGTGAAGGTTGTGTCGGCAGGGTTTGATGACTCGGCTGCTGAGGGAGGTTGTGCTGAAGTCTGGGTGGGCGGTCACCAACACGCACTGAATCGTAAGAAACTGGTGATGGGCCAAGCAGGGGCCAGCCATTTCAAAACATACGAAAAGAAGAATGATTGCTGAGTCGCCATTGGTTGTCGTGGATAATTGATACTTCTTTCCAACCAAGTACATGTACTTGCGAATTTCGTAGCCTGGTATCCAAACCTGCCGAGTCTCAGTCTTTCGTCGGACAAGGCTGAAAGAGACTCGGGAGCTATAATGGGTTTGGATAGTCTACCAACGTACCAATGTTGATGTTGTCGTTATGATAGGTAGGGGGATCAATGTGGTGATAGTGGAGGAGATGTCCGGACAAACCGAAGATTCCCAGCGGTTCGACACTTACGGTGACCCCGAGGCGGGGGTCAAACTCAGGGACTTCCTGCGCGCAGTGACGCCGGTGAGACACGAGAGAGAACATAATACACACATGTACATCAATGTGCTTACACAGAAATACCATGCCATTATCATCAAAACAACGGGGAATATAGGCCGTTACTGGATGACATAACCGCTTTTCAATGACGACACAGTCAGGCAGATTACTAGTAATCATACTCAGTGTTCAAAACTGGTACGAATATTATTTATGTGTTATACAAACTTCCTCCTTGATCCAAATGTTCCAGGGCCGGGTCGTGTTGATAGCAGTAAAAGACGAAGGAAGCAAGTACGCCGTCGACGCTATGGAGGAACTTCAACATCTTGGGTCAAGTTTGGAAATCTTGGGTACGTTTACACTAATGTTAGATATAACAAGAAAAAGTGACATGAAGCGTGCGTATTGAGCGCCACAACCAGGCTCTCGGCAGTCCTCTTTCTGAGTAGTCCAATTATTTATCAGGCTGTAACAGAAACTTAAGGGGCCTGGCACTGACATCTCGATAACAGCTGCCTGCATTCACTCTTTTATTTACACGTAATCTCTTTCTTTTGCCATTCTCCGCAGGTTATCGGGAATCCTGGGCAGTGATCGGTAAGAAGGGAAGTAAAACCTCCTGGTTTGTGGAGGACAGAAGACCGAGGTACCAGGGACCCACAGTCATCGAGGCGCTCATACCTGTTTCAACATAACGAAGGAGGACATCAAAGTGCATCATTGACTGTACCATGTTTTTAAGGCCGCACATTCAGAGATATGCCGGATACAAACAGAGTCTCTGTGTTTGTCTCACCTTTCCCATATCAAAAATAAATAGTACAGCAGCTAAATCAGCAATTGAGTCATATTTAGACAACTAATCACCTGGCAATATTCACATCAGTAGGTCGATATTGTTCCTGTCTACACGTAGTTGTTTACACGGGTACACAAATATGATTATTGCAGCATTCAGGATAAACTGTACCCGTAAGAGGGGGCTGCTTCCAATCGTTATCGGGTAATGATAGGCACGTGTATGATTTTTAAACGAAATAGACTTGTGCAGAGTCGTAACAACGTTAACGAAAACACTGTACAGGAGCGAACAAAGGTGTGACTTGTACACTCTCATTCAAAACGAGCTAAATATTTTCCAGTTTTGGGTTGGATCCCAGCTAAAGTGCGACTTTATCACGGCAAGCATTGTTTGCTTGGTGCTGATGAATAACACTGACATGTGCCACAGAAGCTCGACTACTTACTCCTCGTCATTAGCCTCTCTAGTCATCGGAACTGCGCACGCCTCGGTGTAACCTGCTGTAAGTAACGAACGTTCCTTTGTGTCTGTCTGGGCATCCCTTCATAAAGCCTTAACTAGAAGGTAGCTGTTACAACATATTGGATGGTTGTTAACGTTCCATTAACGATCGATGCAACTTGCATTCGTCCCACAAGCAGGATCACCGAGACCGCCTGACTGAAAATCTAGGACCAGACGGATTCGAAACAATTTCATTTTGTTGTTATGATCAGCATGCATTGTGCATTAAAAGCCTTATCTGAAATCTCTATACATGTAGCATATTGTGATATACAAGCAGATCTTGCCGTGGCAAAATCCGGTAACTCACGAAATCGGACCTACTCCTGGCCGGCTGTTATGATTTTGGAACCGGGAAGATCTGTAAGAGATAAAGATATCTGACTCACCTGTATGTTGTAATCACCATGGATTGTCTTTACGGATCTTTTTGTTCTTTATGCGCGAGAGACCATGTATAATATCATAATTATAATCGGAACGTGAAGTGAAATTATATATTTATCTGAATTACACGAATGACATGGATTAAAAGTCCTGAAAATGTTATGTGTGTATATTGCACGACCCTATACCGTTAAGTCAGCTGAAGAAGTTTTTATGTTAAACCGCAGGAGAGAAGAAAATGTTGAGGTTCATTTGTCTCGTAATGCTGGCGGCCACGGCGAGCGGGCAAGGGACAGGTAATGTTCTTTTTTTCTACACTTAATTTGCACGACGTCGACGGTCTTCTGCCTTACACAAGGGGCAGCTAGTCTTTGAGCATTGCTTATCCTCCGCTTTGTTGACAATGTGTTCCACATGCTCTGGCTGAATTATGTAGTTATTGGCTCAATCTTCCTTGAAGACACTAGTGATATCCCGAGCAAAACAACATGACAATTAAAACAGTAACCTCCTCCCTCCCAGACGCCCAGTGCGAGGGTCGGTCTGACGGTGTGTACGCGGACCTGGAGGACTGCACGGTCTACCACCTGTGTCACGGCGGGCGGGACTACCAGATCCGCTGTCCGGACGGCTACTTCTGGAGCGACGATGTCCACTCCTGTAGACTGGCGGACATCGCACAGTGCTGCTCCGGTATGCGATAACATGTCACAGACGTGCATACGCGTACGTCTTGCAAACACTAAGCGTTTTTAGGCCCTCTCACGCACAGGCCGTATATTGGAAAAAGAAACTACTACTGCATCTCCAAGGTTACATCAGCTCAGGGACAGGCCTTCTAGGCAATTTACTGGGAACAGCTAGGATACCTAATATGTAAAAACAAACAAACAAACAAATCTTTATGTTGATGTTATTCCTTCAGTCTTTTTTGTATGTTCTGATCCTCCGGCCCGTTTCCCCAGGCCAGGGCGTGTGCGAGGCGACGTCGTACGCGGAAGACGTGACGATGCTGTCGGGCAGGGTGCAGACCCTGGAGGCGGACTCAGCGGACGTGCAGGCACAGGTCAACAGTCTGACCACCGAGAACACCGCTCTCCGGACACAGATGACGTCACTTCAGGGCGAGGCCAACAATCTGACCATAGAGAACGTCGCACTCCGGACAGAGCTGACGTCACAACAGGGAATGGTCAGCGGTCTGACCGCTCAGAACGCCATTCTACGGACCGAGCTGACGTCACTCCAGGTGACAGCGGCGGACCTACAGGACCAACTCAACAACATCTCAGGTATCGAGAAAGGTTCATTTCATTCTGAGATGGTAAATTACACTCTAAACTGTCCTCAAACTAGGAAAATTGACCGAATTTTCAACTGAGGACACGTGACCTTGTGGGTCAAGGGTTGTTAGAAGTAGATATCGCCCCTCGTCTAGGTTGAGATTATAGGTTGGTACGTTGATGTAGATGACTTCATCTGCACCTCTCTAGTTACGTGGATGGGAGTAACGAAAATCCCACAGTAGCAAATCTAGCCATTACCGAAATTGTAACGATATTCCGATTAATTCCAGTGCCGGTAGTCGTCTCACGGACCACTATCAGTGCCAAAGTCATCTCTGCTGGCTATGATGACCCCGGCTACCTGGGCGGAAGGGGTGAAGTCTTTGTGGATGGAGTGCAATACGCCATGAACGGTGCGTTCTTGTAACGTTTCTGACACTATTGGAAACTTTAGACCTATGATGCCAACAGATGACATACCTATGTAGCACCGGTGTAACGTAAGTTGCGTTTGGCAGCTAGATGAATATGTTGCCTGCTCAACTGGACAGAATAGATAACAGAAATGCTTTGATGAAACATGCAGGAAACTGGAGACAGGAATCAGGTGACTATATTGACTTCCTCTCAGTCTGAGGGGGCTAGGGGAGCCCATTTAGACGTTCAACCTGATCTTCCTGTCAATCTGCGGTTATATATATATATACATAACCTCCTGCTCCCTTCCTGCCGCTCAAATACCTTCTACCAAATACCTACTCCTTTTAACTACTTGCAGACGCTCATAAAAACTGTACCCTTGTACACGGAGGTAATGATTGGGGAGGCATGGAGTGTGTTTCATGACATTTTGGCTACAATAATTTCTTATCCAGGCCGTGGCTACAACGTGGTGATCGTGAACGAAATAACGGGGCAGATGGAGGATTCCGTGCGGTTTGACACTTATGGCGACCCAGCAGCCGGCGTTTCGCTTCGAGACTTCCTCCGTGGGGTTCCAATAGTAGGTGTCAGTCTGTATAAGCTTTACCTCTTCACGTTCCTTCATAGCTGAGTGCGAACGTATCGGTATATGTAACAAGAGATATACAGAAATGGTTTGTGTACCGGATACCGTCTATGATTCGTAGGTACTCTCCAAGCAGAGGTTGATGGAGGAAGATCGTTACTTTATATACTGTATATGGCCCGGTTTTTTGTCGCGAATTGGACCCTCTCTGGCCAATGGATACTGTCTGGCCAATTCGATACTGGCTTTTTGCAACCCTAGGATCTGCTTGGAGATTAAATCGTAGGTAGCGGGCAGCCTGAAACTGTAGTAACGCATGTTTTGGGTCGGATTCCGTGAAGTCTAACCTTTACACACACATGGTATGCCGTACTGTATTCGGCAGGGCCGTATTGTGCTGATCGCCGTGCATGACGAGGGAAGTAGGTACTCTGGTGACGCCATGGCAGAACTCAGCTCTCTGGGTTCCTTCTCACCGGATATCGGTATGTTCGACGTAGATATTGTAGAAATTTATATTATGACGTCCGCGCGTCAGGTAACGTTATGACAACGTTACGTTGCCAATCCACGTGGTTATGTTTTCTTCCATGCCATGATGTTTAAAGTTTTCCTCTGATCCTAAGATTCTCGGACATTATTCAATCATAGTTATAGTATCCACTTTTTAATCTTTTTTTATCGATTGGTGATCAAAAACTGTTGTTCAAAGCAATTTTTAGCTAAGTCACCCATGCGCAACCGTGGGTCACTATTATTCTAGTATTGTATTTGTTTCTTTTCTTCAGCGCACCGCACGTCCTGGGCCATGATCAGTAAGAAGGGCAGTAAAACGTCCTGGTTTGTGGAGGACGAGCGGGACCGCTATGCCGGGCCGACTGTCGTGGAGGCAGAGATCCCCCTGTCTGTCTGAGAACGACCCAGAACACGGCCCAACACAGAAGGGAAACCAAAATAAAATCTCTTCAAACCTACGAAATGTGTGTTTTACTATTGAGGCACACACACACACACACACACACACACACACACACACACACACACACACACACACACACACACACACACACACACACACACACACACACACACACACACACACACACACACACACACACACACACTGGTACAAACCGTTGAAATCTTCTGTCGCTTTTGATAGAAAGCACAGAACCACGTGGATAGAAACAGAACAACCAGCTGGATTCCGCACGAACTGCCCCCTATCTCTCGGAGGTTTACGTGCAGTAAGATATACAATACAGCGTTGCTCTGAGTATGAGCGGGAATTATAGTTCGGCTTCTCTCAAACTCCTTCCAAACCCATCCTCTAGATCTGCCATAGCAACAGTCACATTTTATGTTAAGAAACTACCGAGCAATTTATCAGCAGAATTGTTAAGTTTTAACGAAAATATAATGAGTCGTCAGGGTGTCAAATACAACTTTCATTACACTTATGTTAGGTCAATAGACGTAGACTAATGTAGCCTCCTTTGAAGCCGTTCCGGGAGCGTTCGGCTTTTTTTTCTTGGGGTGGGGTGGGGGGTGGGGTGCTAGGGAAGGTGGCCAGAGTGTGATCTGTGATCTACGTGCGATCAGAAAACTTGCCCCCCCCCCATGGTATATTATTATAATTTCTAACAAAAATGCCACAATGTAAACATTGAAAAAATGTATTACATCGGGGCCCCGTGAACAAGTCAAGGCGGATCGCTCTGACCTTCAGTAATGGCAGACCCCCTCCTCCCCTCCTCTCAATCATGACGCAAAGTGGATGGTCCTTGAAAAATCGAAATGAAAGGACCCCAGGAAGCAAGTATTTCACCGCCGCTTAAAATTTTAATCATTTGTGGGAACAGGCATGCCGCATGCATGTTTCTGTTTGTAAAAGAAAGTGCTGCGTTTCAATCTACTGGGTTTTCCAATCACAATTTGTTCTTGTTGATGGTAAACACATTATTTCCCTCAGAGCGCCCACTGCCACTGTTACCGTCCATTCAATGGCATTACCACGGCAGTTACTAATATTAGCACGGCAAAGGACAAACATATATACACACTGACCCACATTCCGCGTGTGTCTTGCATGCATGCAGAGGTTGGTCCGCAGACATTGCGTGATTGTTCCTTATTTCTTGTGGTTTTATTAATTCTCTCAAGTCCCACATCACGGCGGACATAATTTTATCGACCTAATTCAATATTAATGCTGAAATGGGGCGGCAGTGTCCCGGATGTGACATCTGGATATTGCAAATGGCGAGTCCAGAGATGGGAAGCCGGATGGTGGAAGGGCCACGGTGTAACTGTATCCACGGCGCTCCCGGAAAAATGTCCAGACGGGAATGATGCTCGTCCTGACCTTCCAGGAACGATGGTCCCGCTTGTCTAGCCGGTTGTACGTGGATTTTTAAGGGGACGATCGTGTACGGGGGGAATTTTGGGTTGTGAAGATGTCGGGGGAACACCAAATGGTGGGACCTTACCGGCTGGAAAAAACACTGGGGAAAGGACAGACGGGTAAGTACACGGGTTCGACTATTTTGTCTCTTTAATTATTTCCGGGAATCCGGGCTATGACTCGCGTGCCCTCTGTTTGTACTAGGATGCCATCTCTGACGTTTTGTTTACGCAATGAAGTGGATTTAAAAGGATGAGGATTGTCTTGGCTCTACGTTACGCGCCACTGAGCGCTCCTTCCCCGCTAGCCGCCAGTATAACTCATCTTTTGACCAGTGTGCTGATCTATACTCCAATAGAATGGACCGAAATCATGACGCGGCCCGCTACAATCATGGAAGGACAATCCTCGGTGACAATTGACCCCGTTGTGTGTCTTTGTAACGCCCAGTATATAGGTTTATTGTGTGAGTGTGTTGTAACAGGCAGGTGGTGTAGTGGGGATCACAGTGGGGTGTATACCCCTCATGGGCCATTATGTAATCACGTTTGTCCAAGCACTAGCTGGGTGTTCAACTCTGGCCATCCTTGGCAATTTTCTACCTTTTCTGTAGCAGACGACATAATCACTTTTTCTATGCACCAGTCTGTTAACTGTTAGTAACAAGTCTCCTACAGATAACATTGTTTGATTATATCATATTGGCAAAGCAACATTTAATTAATAATCTGGCTTAATCGATGATAGGTAAGAAATTTAAACATTTGCCAGGTTATGATTATCTTGAGTTCATAATTTAGGCAGACTCAAAATTGTACACTTTAGTATATAACTTTATTTCTCTCAGATACGCCTGTTCCATATTTCCCTCTTATTCAGCCCCATTATCCCATGTTCCTCTATTATGATTTCCATTGTCCCATAGGATTTGCTCAAGTTGAGAAATATGTACTGTAAAATTGTGAACTGTTCACAGTGGTTTTATTTTTGGTCTAGAGTTGGTATTTTGTATTTCTATTGTACTGTGTACAGAATTGTTTTAACCATGAATTTCATACAATGCAAAAACCTCAGTTTCCCTCATACTGTGAAATAAAACCACTGCAAAAGTAGATGTATTTACAGTACTTGTTCCTCTATATAAGTTCATGCATCATTTGTACCAAAGAAGCCTGACCACTTCTTGAGGCTAAACTGTAATCCCAACCACTCCCTCCTGGTCCATTGTCCAATTATGGTAGCGAACAAGTGCATATCCACTGACCTACATCTAGTAATAACTAGGGACGTGACAAAGGAGGCAAAGTCAGAGGTGAGGGGGGATGCATGAAAGTGCAATCTCCAAGCAGACGTTGGAATTGAACATCCTAACCTTATCTAGTTCCAAGCTCTTTGTATCATGCAACCGTCCCAGAAAATAGGCTGTTGTCATTTTCCATTGTGGCATTTATTGTGCTTGGAGATTATGAAATTCAATGCAAATTATGGGTGGGGGGTGAAAAAGATTTCTGTAGTCTAAAACTATAAGCTTTCAGATTAGTGGTATGTATGTTTTTGCATTGTCATTGTATTGACTAAGCTAATATATTATGTAATATTGATCAAATTGAGATATTTTTCTAGGAATTATTAGGAGGACAGGTTGACCTGAGTCAATCTGAGGTTACATGTACTTGTGGCATAATAATACAATGAGTTGGGTGACACCTATCTGCTAATGTAGACGTTATTTCTTTAAGACCTTTTGTACCAGTCTAACAATGCTCTGTAATATAGACACCCAATGATGTTACTGATTACATTCCAAATGTTATTTTAGAGACAGGCTGTTGTCTTTCCCAACACCATTGGTTTCCAAGTTGTATGTATAATGATACTTGTCTCTACTTCTGTGTGGAAATTATTGACATGACTGGTGCCTCAGGTGCACCTATTGTCCTTCCACAGAAGTCAATACAAAGCCATTCCAACTTGCTTCGTGGACAAATAAACAATCCAATATTTTGAGATTTTAAGTCTTTCATGTCAATCTTGCAATTAAAAATGATAAAAAATTGCTACCTTTCTCTTTATATTTAGTTTTCAAGTTGAATTTCAAGTTTATTACAGAAGTTGTAAAAGCACCGGGTGATGTGGCCCAAAATTAAGAAATATGTTCAGGTTGATTCTCCAGTTTGTTATAGAAGTTGTAAAAGCATTAGGTGCCAGTATTGGCCTAAAATTGAGAAATGCTGTTGGCAGTACTAGTGCTGCTGCTGAGTTCTGCAGGCCTCACCATGTGTGTAGCTATAGGGTCCTAGGGTATTTACTCCCATGGGAAAGTTCAGGAACTTTGGCAACTGCAAATGAACATGTTGGTTAAAGAAGCTGCTTTGCTAGGAAATTCCTAGTAATGCAGGCGACATTGAAATACAGCTGGGCTTTGTGAATGCACATCAGAGTGTTACAGTTAATAGCCCATTTTGAAGTTGACTCTATGGTCCCATTCTGTGTTTTTTACCTCAGAATTGTAGCACCACATAATGTGATTAATCCCGAGTCCCCAAGCCCCTTATCTGGCCCACAGCTGGCATTCACCTGCTGCTGCTGTTTTCAATGAAGATTCTTTATTGACACAACTGTACCACCAAGTTGAGGTTGTAGGACAGTGGATCCCTGTGGTAGAAACTTTGTCAGTTATCCATTGCAGTATATAATGTAAATCCTGAAATTTTTGTGGTGGTTTTATTTTCATAAGTTTCTCAGTGACCTCTCCACCACAAATTCATGATGATGGAAATATGTCTTATATGACTACTGTTCACAAGAATTTTACAGAAATATAAACCATGGATTTAAAACTCTGTGAAAATCTCCTTTTCCTTGCTACCATGAAATAAAATTACCACAAATGTTTAAGAATTTACAGGTTGAATATAAGTTGCATGACAAGTTGATCCAATTGAGAAATAATTGATGCTTTACATATGATTTCAGTACTGAAACCAATTTGTAGGATGGTGATGACTTACTAGTTAAAGATTTCAGTGCACATTTGCATATTATGAAAAACTTCATGTTTCACAGTTTGTGTGTTATTGCATATTGGTCACTTAATGACCGAGAATAAGGTATTGGCCTATCCCTAGGCCCTTATTAATATTATATATAATAATAATGATCTGAGAAATGTATTTTTTACTTTGTCAGTTGAAACAGTGATGGTAGATTGAGGTTAATGGTATGTGAGGGATGTCGTACTGTGGAGCTGAGGTTCTGTAGAGCTGTTGATACCAGTATCACATTTATTATGATATCATAAATGTTTGATTTGACATATCCATAATAAGGCCAGGGTTTATTTGCAAGAAATGTCAATACTGACATTCTAAGATCCAGCCCTGTATTCATTTTCGGGATTATGATCATGATGCACATCAGTAAGAAATATATGAATGAATGAAAATGAATGAATGAATGAATGAATGAAAGAATGAAAGAATGAACTTAATTGCTGGACAGTTAATTGCTGTACATGGTACAATGTGTGGCTGTACATGGTACAATGTGTAGCAGTAATACAATAATACTACAAAACTAAACTATCTTAATACATTTCTTACTACAAACTACTATCTATACAGTATATGAGTTAGTCTTTTAGCTCATAAGTTCCTCCATATATTCAGAATTTCATGCCAATAATGTGATTAGTATGATCAGCTGGTATCCAGGTTAGAGTAAGTTATGTAATTCAGCTTGTCCTGAAAATCTCCTCATCTGGTAACCTTTTCCGTATTAGATGTTATATTATATCTCATGCCAAGGGGGGGTAAAAATGCGATATCCAAGTTCTTATCATATTCTAGCTTAGGTATGGCATCTTGCCTTAGATATGCAAGGTCTGTTTCAATAGATTTTATCGTATTTCATATTGAGGTCCCTTTTTTACCTCACGCTAAGCCTTCATTTTACATTGAAGTTGACATATTTCATTGGGCAACTTCTGCTTTAATGATAACCTTCTACTTGATGGTTATCCAATCTGCTAGCCCTCTGATTGAAGGCTAGCCAATCCGTCAGGCTTGCATTATATATAAAGTTGAATTTCTGCCATGTTTGCCAATGGCATTGGTAATGCGCAACGGCATGTGTGTGGTATCACGTATGACATTTACCAGCATTGGCAGAGCTTGGTTGACTCTCATACCCTTGACTCTTGCATGTACCCCATTTAATACTACAAATAGTGTGGAACACAAAACTGTACATGGAGCTGTGGTACAATGGACAAATATAACTGATTAGGTTAAATGCAGGTAGATATCCAAAGTACTGATTTGTATGTACAGTCAGCCCTAATTTAACGACTGAAGTAGAAATGTATGTGTGTATGTGGTGTTTTGATCCCTGGAATTTCAGTGGTTACAGAAAATATGCATAACTGAACGCTGCATTTTTTGCAAGTTGTTGTTCGTCTTCCTCATCAGGTGAGGTGTTGAGATGATAAATGATGCTTTTTGTAGTAGCTATGCATGTGCAATGTGGCTTTACCACGGGTCACATATTTTTGTAAGACTTAAATTTAAAGAATGCCCAATGCTGTCTCACCCCCCCCCAACTGAATCATTGTGAACTGCATGTTTACATTTCAGGGAAATAACCCTTCTGATTTACCTTAACTTGTACGGGATGGGTTACCACATATCACATCGGCATGCATAGAATATTTAATGAGAAAATTTTTTAATTATGTAATGATAACTGTCTGGAATTTCATACTTCTGGTATTTGAAAGTTCAGTGAAGGTGAACATCATTAAACATAATGTATTCAAATCAGGACTTCATTTGCATAATTTATGAGGAAATGCTAGCATGGCATTGTTTGTTGATATATCTGTCTTTTGGTTGAGAATATGATAAATTGATATAGTTCATGAAAATGAGGATCCTGTTTGCACAATCAGGAGGAATAATCTACAAATTGTCAGTCATAAAGACTAACATCATTTGACAAAGGTATGATGTCGGGGAAATCTAGTTGTTATATGTATTATGATTTATAGACGCTAAACCGGATAGTGAGTAGTGAGTGAATGAGGGCACAAGTCATGGAAAATACAGTATCGTGTATTCTT